TGGGTACAAGTTTTTTCTGAAGTTAAGATATGAGGGCAGAATTGTTCAAAGTAACCCACCTAGATATCTGGAGGGGAGAGTTAAAACATTTGCAGAAATGGATTCAGATGAGTGGGGCATGATGACATTAAAGGAAAAGGTTTATGAAGTGGGATATAAGAAGGAAGACAACATTAGGTTGTTTAATTTGAGTGATAATGGTTTAGTAGAGTTGCTTACAGATGAGGATGCTTGTGTATTAGCAAACTATGTTGTTAGACCAAAGGTAGTAGAGATATGGGTTGTCTTAAGGGTGGTTGGAAATGATGAAACAAATGGTGGTGAAGCTGAAATCAGTGCAGATGAGAGTGAGGGTGGTTCTGATTGGCTGCAGGGGGATTCTGCAGGTGAGTATGAGAATGAGGAAACTGGAGTAGATGACTTAGAGTTTCTGAAGTATATTGATCCAAATGTTGAGTATGGAGGTGATGAGGATGGTGGTTGTGATAGAGTTGAAGAAAATACTGAAACATTGGATCCAAAGTATATCAATGCTGAGATCCATTTCTCTGGCAGTGAAGGGGAAGAAACTGAGGGAAATGTGAGGTCTGTGGGATATGTTAGGGAATCTGGTGAGGGAAATGGGAGGGAATGTGTACCTCCTAGGCCAGTTTTGCCATCTCCACTGTGGCTTGGGAAAACATTTCTTACCAAAGGAGATTTTAGAGAAGCTGTGAAAACATATGGGTTACAATTTGGTAAGGAGTTAAAATTTGTGAAGAATGACAAGGTTAGGTGTATTGCCAAGTGTGTGCAAGAGGGCTGTAATTGGAGGGTTAACTGTAGAAGAGATCCAGATGAACAATGTTGGAGAATTATTGTTTTAGTTGATGAGCACAATGATTGTGCATGGGTACATGAAAACAGATTGGTAACTGCCTCACTAATTGCAAAAAGATGGAGAAATCAGATTGATGGGAATAGTGAATGGAAAACTAGTGAATTTAGAAAGAAAGTATGCACTGAGGATCACCATGACTTAACTGTTAGGCAAGCATACAATGCAATGTGTTTGGCTAAGAAGGCAATCAAGGGTGAACTAGAAGACAACTTCAACAAAATTTGGAATTATGAGTTGGAGATAAAAAAAACAAATCCAAACACAAGGTTTCTTACCAAGTTATCTGATTTAAGATATGAGGGTGGCAAGCACAGATTGCTTAGAGTTTATATCTGCTGGGAGGCTTGTAGAGAGGGTTTTAAGCATTGTAGGCCACTAGTAGGTGTGGATGGATGTCACCTTCGAGGCAAAGCAGGAGGGATGATGCTTACTGCCATTGGTGTAGATGCTAATGATAGCATATTTCCAATTGCATATGCCATAGTAGAAGGGGAAAATAAAGACTCCTGGTGTTGGTTCTTGAAATTATTGAAAACAGATATTGGGCTAAATAACCTTAGGCAACAAAATTACACCTTCATGTCTGACAAACAAAAAGGCCTTATCCCAGCATTTGAAGAAGTTTTACCCCTAGTGAATCATAGATACTGTGTAAGACACTTGCATGGCAATATGCAAGTAGCTGGATTTGGGGGATTACCACTAAAAAATGCACTTTGGAAAGCAGCTAGGGCTACAACTATCAGCACATTTAAAGATGCAATGAGAGAGTTAAGGGATCTAGATAGCACAACATTTCAATGGTTGAATGATAAACACCCAAGTGAGTGGTCCAAATCTCATTTCAATACAACTGCCACATCTGATATGCTTGTCAACAACATTTGTGAGTCCTTCAATGCAATGATAAAAGATGCAAGGGACAGTCCACTCATCAATTGCTTGGAGATTGTGAGAAAACAAATAATGATAAGGCTGTTTGAATGTAGAAAGCAGGCTGCTCAATGGTCAGGGACAATCTGTCCAGGGATAGTAAAGAAGATCTCAGTATTTGAGGAGCAAGCTGGAGGTTATTGGGGGTTTCAGTCTGATGAATTCTTGTTTGAAATAAAAGGGTCATATGATCAACACCAAGTTGACCTTAGAGCAAAAACGTGTTCTTGTAGGAAATGGGATCTCACAGGATTACCATGTAGGCATGTTATTCGTGCTATTTGGTTGAAAAAAGGAAATGGGCCTATATATGAGTATGTCGATTCATGTTACACAGTTGATACGTATGTGAAAACTTATTCAGGATCAATTCACCCAATGGCTGGGCCTTCTGAGTGGCCCCAATCTGATATAGAACCTCCTTTACCCCCACTTGTCACAACTAAAGTTGGGAGACCAAAAAAATTGAGAATAAGATCAGCTGGAGAAGCAAATAAGGGGCAATCATCAACTAAGAGACAGGCAGCAGCTAAGGGGCAGTTAACAACTAAGGCATATTCTAGGAAGCATGTATCCCTTCACTGCAAAATCTGTAAACAAAAAGGCCATAACAGTAGGAGGTGCCCTGATAAATCAGCTTATGCAAATACAGTCCAGGTATAATTTGTGATTATGCTAACAACATATTTTATTATGCAAAATTAATTGTTGTTGTTTTGATTGCTTCCTGGCAGAACCAATTAGGTGCTCAAGTCACTCATCCAGCAGCTGCACATGTCACTCATCCACCAATTAGAGAACCATTTACCGCACAGGTCACTCATCCAGCAACTGCCACTTCTGTCCAGGTATAATTAATAGCTGTTAAGCATATTTTAATTGTTATTAGCTGTCTCATTTTGTGCACCACTAATAGTTGGCCTGGCAGAACTACTTAGGTGCTGATATCCCTCATCAAGAAGAGATACCAATTCAGACACAACCTGAATATGGTACTGATATAGACATCCAGATTGAGCATGATGACCCTGCCTATGTTTTTGAACTTCCTGTTGAATTAGTGCATCTATCAAGTAATGAAATTCCAGGTGGGATGTAAGTCTTATATATGTTGGTTTTAGATAATGATAGTCACTAATGGTTGTTACTTTGCAATTGTTTAGGTGAAAGCTTAAATGTTGGAAATCAAATGAGAGCTCAAGGACCACCACCAAAAAAAGATAAAGACCATAGACAATGTGGGAGGAAAACAAGTCATTACATCTACTGGCAAAGCTAAAGGAAAAAAGTGATTGGACATTTAACCTTGACTGATGAGACAATGTAGACATTTCTATTAGAGCTTTTGTTTTTTTTTTTTCTTTTTTTGTGTTTGATATGTGCCATGTAAACTCTAGTTACACAATTTTGGCACTCTCATTTGGCAGTATGTAAACTCTAGTTAGACAATTGGCTGTCTCATTTTGGTCTCTAGTTAGACAATTGGCTGTCTCATTTTGGTAAACATTGACTGTCTCATTTTGGTAAAATTTAGCTCTGTCATTTTGTTACTTTGGTTATGCAATGAAAAGGCTCTGTCATTTTGTTACTTTGGTTATGCAATGAAAAGGTCCACATTTGGTTACTTTGCTTATGCAGTGCAATTGTCATTTGATTACTTTGGTTATGCAATGCAATTGTCCATTTGGTTACTTTGGTTATGCAGTGCAATTGTCCAATTGGTTACTTTACTTATGCAGTGCAATTGTCTGGTGACTTTGGTTATGCAGTAACTTTGACATTACTGAGACCAAACTAAACTGAAAATTACCCAATTATATACACACATTAAATCACAAAACACTTCATTGATCATAAATTAGTGCAATTACAAATACAATTTCACTTCTAGTCTACAATGCCAAGGGACGCGTTTTAACTAATTTTCCACCACATACAGTTCTAGAATTGGAGTTACACAACACCATCACTAACACTGCTACTGCATCAATTGAAATCATCACCATCACCAGGAGATAAGAACACTTTGATTTTTACCATATATACAAATGATCTTCTGCAGTAGCTGTAGCTCTCAACCTTGATTTCAACTTTTGGATTTCCTCCTCATTTCGATTTATACGCCGTAACAGTCCAGGAATGTTGCCCTTGACCTTGCACACATAGGAGGATCATACCATCTTACGAATCCACACCCATCCACTCTCCTGCCCTATACCCAAAACCCAAAACCCAAAACCTATTACAATCTAAAATTAAACACTAAACAAATATAAATTGTCAGAAATTACTCACCATATTCAGTCCACAGTCCCAATACCTTCTCCCAGGATTGTCATTCGTCCATGAGGTGTGTAGCTTCAACGATTCACCACAATGACAACGCATATTCGACATTACTTCACCGTGTTGAAACAATGAGTGGTTTCTTGAGGAACCATAGCTGTCTTCATTGTAGTTCGAATGCATCTCGAAGAAGGCGGTGAAGGGAGAAACTGAATTTAGGGTATGAAGAGAATGAATGACAATTAGGGATTATTCTACATCTTATAACCGACGAGATGAAGGGAGAACGCACGCAGGAGGGGAAATTACCACTCTGACCTTCAACTTGACGGGAATTAAACGGAGAATTTAACATAGGACGAAATTGGGTCAAATTTTGAAACTTAAGGACTTAATTGGTTAAAATTGAAAGTTGAGGACCAATTTGGGAATTTAGCTATAGTCGAGGGACCATTTTGGGTATTTACTCTTCTTTTTTGTTCTTATTTTCATATATTTGTAGTTTTTATTGTCTTTTATTTAATTGTGATATTATTTAAGTTACCTTGAAATATTAGAAATGTTAAAAACTAATCCAATTTAAATGAATAATATTACATGACATACCTACTCACACTTTGGCTTCACAACAACTCCGTCCAATCCTGTTACAGTTTTTTTTTCTTCTTTTTAACACGTGTGTTTATGTGTATTATGTTAAGAGTTTATGTGTATTATGTTAGATTATGTGTATTATGTTAGGAGTTTATGTGTATTCTACTATACAATTCTGTACGTACAAAACATGGATTTTTTTAATTTTTTTTTATAGAAATTAACGGCAGAAACGGGAACGACGTCATTTTGGGCAATGCATTGTGCGCCCTGGTGCACGATATAATTTGCCTCAAAGCTATATGTGGGCCACGCAATTTAAAGCTCAATAATTTCAAATTGGGCTGCTGACAGCCCCAATCGCTAAGAGTCCGGAATTTTGGTTTTTGGGCGCGACAGAATACATTCGCCATTGATTTTTGGGCTTGTAAATGGGCCAATTAGAAGCCCATCAACTATCCATTGATAAGCGGCTTCTGTCAGGTGCATCCCGTCCCAGCTAATATACGATGAAGGGCTATCACAAACCGTTGATAGTTGGGACCCACAATACGCATGCGGATTAGAATTGTATGGGCCCCCACCTCCACAGCAAGCTTCCAAAGTATTCTCAAATCCTGATATCATTTACACATCAAAGTTAAATATAAACTTTTTTTTTTTTTTTTTTTTTGGGGCTAATTATCTATAGCAAATATGTATTTAAAGAAATTGTGAGACTTAGATTGTGAATATCATTGTTTTGTAAAAAAGAAAAATGGTTGTGCATGAAATTTAACTGTAGAGAGAGTTAGATATACCATAATTGTTTGGAGATCTATACAACCGCATTGCAGCGTTATAATAGTCTGCGTAAATTATTCTGGTATGAGGATGAAGTTCTCTGAGATGGTTCAACTCCTTTTGAAGTAGTTCGTTGTGGTACTCAGTAAAATCGTTTAACCAGTTAATGCAACCAGTCTGGGGATCATATTCGCTTGCATTGGAAGTCATGAAGTACGATAGATAGGATGGCGAACATCCAATTGGTAGGTTACCCGGAACTATTAGTATTTGCGCTCCATATTTAATTAGTTCCTAAAAACTCAAAACACAAAATAACGTCACATCATGAATTTGCAACAAGAATAATCTTTAACTCTTGAAATAAATAAATATAGAGTTTTGAAAAATGGATTCTTACGTTGATAGTTGAAGCGATGACTGTAATAACTTTGGGAACAAAAGACATAACTTCTTCTTTGGGATGGCCTTGAAGGAATGCATAATTGTAATCGTTGCCACCAATCTCCCCCATTAGAATTACTGAGCTTTCTAAATACTCCTTGCATCCTGTTTATCATAATTGGTACAAACGTTGTTGTTATTGATATCACGAGAGTTATGTTTTCTACAAAGGGGTTAATGGTAACGTCGTGTCGGTCAATAAATTACTTATGCAGTTTGGTCCAGCCAACTTGTGTGGCTGGTTTCTATTTGTTAAATTCTTTTCAATCTTTTTTGGCAGGTTGTGTTTTTGGGTGGGGTTGGTTTGGGCAAATTATTGTGTCGACCACGGTTCAAAATATCGTTGTGAATATTATAAGTAAAAATAATGTACATTATGTGTTAAAATAATGTATATTTTCATATTTAGAATAATGAAATATTTAGGGTAACAATGTACATTATGCTTTAGAATAATGTACATTTTGTTTTAAAATAATGTACATTATGAGTTATAAAAATGTATATTGCAGTTGAGCGCGCGAAAAAATAAAATTAAGTAAAATGATGTTATTTTTGAGCTGTGATCCATATAGATAACTATTGGTTGGTTCAATGGTTGTCTATCATACATTTATTTTTTTGAAGTACGATTTCTATCTTTATTTGTATGCATTCTGACATGTATACATCATATTTGGATAATTATTTTTTTTTTTAAAATGAACTGAAATAAAATATATATTTCAGAATATTTTCATAAGCTTGTGGAAAGGGTCAAATGGCTATTATAAATAAGGAAAATGCTTCTTTTTTTTTCTTTTTCTTTTTTTTTTTTTGAAAAAAAATTTATCATTGGTCTCTGAGTTATACTTGAGTCCCGATGCAATTTATCAATTATGATCCAGCAATTTTTTTTTTTTTTTTAAAAACATAGTATTGGAGGGGTAAAATGAGAAATTGATATATTATTCTTTTTTTTTTCACTTATTATATTGGAACTACTTTTGCAACCTTATTTTCTCTTCTCAACCTTCTATTTCAAGATTCTTCAACTTCAAAAGCATTTCTATGTAATAACTCTGGTTTGACTTGTTAGGAATCTAGATCTCATATAAAGAAATTGAGACTCAGTACAAATAAGGGAATACTTGATCATTGTCTTCATACGTTTGAAACACAAAAGTTTTCAATTTTCTTTACTAAGCAACAATGGTAATCAAACCATAACTTTTAAGATATAACAAGATGTTAAATTTCTCATATTGCTTTTATGAGAAAATTCACCAAATGAGTAACTTGAAATTTTTTGTATGTAAAAATTATTTCGTAAACTCTACCGTAGCTTAGTCAAGAATCATATATCCTAGCAACATATGAAAATTATATTATATATATATACCATCCGACATCATCTCCTATTTCTCATTCATTACTCTGATTTTTAAGAAGATAAATGAGGAGATGTTTAATGATGATGTATATATACAATAAAATTTTCATATATTGCCATGCTATATGATTCTCGACTAATTACCTGCGCTACTGCTGAGGTTACGAAAGAATTTTGAATACAAAAAATTTCAAGTTATTGTGATTTTTCATAAAAGTGAAAAAAAAACTTCAAAAAACATCTCTTAGGGTTTTTATGCCAATATATAATAAGGGTATATTGAAGATTTAAAAACTTTAATTGATAGAAAATGAAAGCAACAAAATCGCCTCTAGGCTCTGGAGATAGATAATAGGAGCTTAGAGAAGCTTACTTGACGGCGTCTGGCAAAAAGATGACAGCATCTGCTTAAACCAATCCAATTCATTCCCCAGAGATACATTTGTGCAGCTATTAATAATTCCTCTCTCCGTAAAGAATGACATGTCCATCGCCGTCGCCCCCGCCACCGCGAAGTTCACTCCTTCCGCAAAACTCCGATCACCGTTTCTTTCGCCGCCGAAATAAGGTTGCACCAGTGGAAGCCCCATGCTCTGAGCTGCATGCAATGGCCGCCAGTGTATATATACGTACATATTATTACCCAACAATTATATATACTTTTCGTTTTTCTATCTCTTAGCTTGGATTAAGTAAAAGTTACCGATAAAATCGATGATGAGGCGGCCGTCGGAGTAGCGGCCGGTGGGGTGGTGGAAGAACGTTTCGCCGTAGGGTGGCACCGACGACTTGACGAAGCCCTTGGATAATACTTTGGACTTGTGAATAAGGTTTCCGGTGTCGGTGACCGAATCGCCGAAACTTACGATGGCTTTGTAGCAGCCGCCGGCAACATGTCCGGTCGATTCAAACACTACCAAAACTATACAATAATAAGTAATTGCAGTTCCTAGAGAGAAACCCATAATTAACACTTTGTTTTTCTTTCTTTTAATTGTATTACTTTTCTTCTTTTAAATGACAACTTTTGGGAGATGAGAAAAAGACATCAACTTTAATTTGGCCCGCAAATGTTATGCCATGAATATATAATGGTGGTCCTTTTTACATTATGGAACTATTTAAATTACAATATATTACATTTAAATAATATAACATTATTAAATAAATTAAATGATATTAGATAATGGCTTTGTATCATTAGTTTATTAATTGTTAATCAAAATCAATTTTAAACATTAATAAATATCAATTTAACACAATTATCTATCTATGGAACGTAGATCCATTATTATAGATTATATCAGAATCTGTAATTTGTGTATGATTTAAATCATGTATAAATACGGAATAAAAGACAACTATTGTATTCATATATACTCGTAAGTTGTAATGGACAGACACTCCATGAATTTTCATTCGTTCATTCACTATCAAGAAAGTAAGTACATCCACCACATGACATGAAACAATGATCACCACATGTCCTAAAAAAAAATCATTGTACGTGTGGCTAAGCTTAACACACATAATGTGTGGTTTAAAAAAGATTATGACCCTGTTTAGTAAATCTCTAAATGACTGTTAGCTGATAGCTAGCTGTTGGTTGATTAGGTTAATTAGATGGTAAATTAGTTGATAAGATTAGCTGATTGTAAAAAGTATTTGGTAAATTAGTTGTTAGTTGATAGCTGTTTGATATACTTTCTTTTCTCAAAAAATTAATTGAAAAAATTACTTTGAACAGCATTTTGAATTTTAACATTTTGGAATTACAAAAAAGCTAATTAACCAAACACTTATATTAGTTTTTTAACCGAACAAACAAATAATAATAGTCAAATAAGCCAAAATTGACTGATAGACTAACTATTTTACCAAAGATGGGATAACACGTACTGCTTATGACAGTTATAAATTAATAACATACATAAATTGTACAAGATTTTGACGGTCTAAATCCTTCACTTGAAATTTTACTCCATAGATTCGAGCTACCAATATTCAAAAAGTGGCTCACTCAACAATTTTGAGTATATTAAAAAATTCATTTTGAAACTATAGGACACAAAATTAATTTTGTAAAAAAACATTTTCTTCTAAGAATAAGATTGAGTTTTAGTTTTTCCTCCTAAGGACTTGTTCTCATCTGATTCAATATATACACACTCGCACACAAAATTTTGGGTTAGTGTCAATTCAACAGTAAAAATCATTTAGCCCAAGCCGGTAAACCCAAAAAAACTTCCACGACTAGTACAATAGACATCCCAGTCACAAGTTCATGTAATGCACATATATCATTATATATACGGTACAAATATATCTTCTCTACCAATCTCTTTACATATCGTACAAAATTTGACACAACAATTTTTACTGATATATATATATATATATATATATATATATATATATATATATATATATATATATATATATATATATATAGAGAGAGAGAGAGAGAGAGAGAGAGAGAGAGAGAGAGAGTATGGTTCCAATGATAACACTTGCTTAGGTGAGAACAAATCGTGTGCATCCATCTGATATTTTCTAATGGTCTAGATTAAATTAAGTGTGTGCAAACTTGAATTATGTCGCGTTTGCACACATTTAATTCGCATTCGCACACACTTAATCTAATCTAGACCATTAAAAAATATTAGATGAATGCACACGATTTGTTCTCACGTTATCACCTAAGCAAATGTTCTCATATGATGATCCTACATATATATATATATATATATATATATATATATATATATATATATATATATATATATATATATATATATATATATATATATATATATATATATATATATATATATATATATATATATATATATATATATATATATATATAGAGAGAGAGAGATAGTTGATAGTTGATAGTTTAACAACTAGAACTAGATGAAGATGTGATTAGTAGGCACCACATGTCTATATGTCATTGTTCATGTGCCCTAAAAATTTTGATTGGAAAAATGTTTGTTTAAAATATATAAAGATTATATTAGAAAAATTTGTTACTAGCAAAAAAAAAAAATGTTGAGAGGCTCTTATATAATATTTTAAGAGTGATTTTGCCAGTGACGGTGTAATCAAAATCAATAGTATCACTTTTCAAAATAAAACAGCTATTCGTAGTTGTAATGGATAGACTCTCCGTGCAATTTCTTTCATTCATTTCACTATCAAGAAATGTTGACTTTTGTTTCATGTCATGTGGTGGATGTAGTGTACACTACATCTACCACGTGACATGAAACAATATAAATCGTCAACAAGTAAATGTCCAAAACAGACACAATATGTGGCTAAGGAAGCTTAATTAGCACACTTAATATGTGGTTTAATAAAGATTATAACACTGCTTATGACAATTTTACAAGATTTTGACAGTCTAAATCTTTCGCTTAGACTTTTAATCCATAGATTCGAGCTAGTAATATTCAAAAAGTGGTTCGCTCAATAATTTTGAGTATATTAAAAAATCATTTTGAAACTATAGGACAAAAGATCAATTTTGTAATTTTTTTTTTAAAGATTACATAAGAAAATTAAATGCTTTTGAACTTGTAATAAGCTTACTTATCAAATTTCCCAATATTTGCAAATTGATTTTGGTCGAGGAATTTTAACTAATAAATAATTTGTAAATTACATAAACTAAAATCTTAAAAGCAAAAAAGTGTTTTCAATAACTATATTTCAACAATGGATTCCATGAGTATAATAAAGTTCATTTATACTTTATAGTAGTTGCCTTTCTTCGGCAATTTATATCCTACACCACGGCGCGCGTTGCACTATGCGCCCAGATGCAAAACGACGTCGTTTTAATTATTTTTTTTTTTTTTTGAAATTTTCCGCCCCAGTGAATGGCAGTATTCTTTCTTTAAAAAAAAAAAACCCGCTGTTCAAGAATGTACATAATGTTATACTAGAATACACATAATGTTATACATGAATGTACATAATTATATAACAAAATATACATACTCTTTTTAAAAGATAATACACATAATCTAACATAATACATAATAAACATAAACTTTTAACATAATACACATCAACTCTTAACATAATACACACAAATTTTCTTATTCGGATGTACATAATTGTATAAAAAGAATGTACGTAATTGTATAAAAAATACACATAACTGTATGAACCAATACACATAACGTTGTGAACAAATACACATAATCTCAGCAACTTCTTACCGCGCCTCCCAACACTACCCCAAAACGACGTCGTTTTGGAAGGCGCGCGACGCACAATGCTATGTGCGCCGTGGTGTAGGATATAACGATTGCCTTTCTTCTCATTTCAAAATTCGAATTTGAAAAAGAAAACCCAAATAATGAAAATATACTTTCTTAAAGAATATTTTAATCCTTTGCAATAATATTTTATTCTCCTAGCAGCTATGGGCTTCATATTTGGACCAATTCTAAGTCCAGTCCATATCGTATTCTACTTCAATATTCTCCTTCACCCAACTCATCATTTCCCAAAATGTATTTGAAAAGAAGAGAAAAGTAATTTTAACTTGTAATATATATATATTTTTTAAATTGTTTGGAATTCAATTCCATATAAAAAAAGAGTGAGGGATGGAGGTGCGAAGTGAAGTCCATAAGGTAATTAGGCCCAGATGATATTTTAACCCGCATATACAAGATTTGCAGTCGTTGTATCGTGGACCATGGTCTAAAAACGGCATCATTTTTTTAAGTAAAGAAACGGCTGCCGTTATATTTTAATGGAGCCTGTATTTTTGGTGTGTTAATTACAAAATGAAACTACAATATATCTAAAATGGAATTGTCTCACATATTGTTTCTATATTATCAAATGCAACTGTAATTGAATTGAAATGAATATGTAGTTGTATTGAAATGAAACTGCATGTACATATGAAACTGAATAACAGTTTCACATATTTGAGTGCATATTGTCAATGAAACTGTAGTTATATGGAAATGATACTGTAGTTGTGTTGTAATGAAACTATAGTGCATATAAAATGAAATTGAATAATAGTTTCACATATTTGAATGTATAATGTCGAATGAAACTGTAGTTATATCGAAATGAAACTGTAGTTGTGTAGAAATGAAACTGCAGTGTATATAAAATAAAACTGAATAACAGTTTCACATATTTGAGTGTATATTATCCAATGAAACTATAGTTATATCGAAATGATACTGTAGTTGTGTTGTAATGAAACTATATTGTATATAAAATGAAACTAGATAACAGTTTCACATATTTGAGTATATAATGTCAAATGAAACTGTAGTTATATCGAAATGAAACTGCAATGTAAATAAAATGAACTGAATATGTTATACAAATAGAGCTACTTTATGCGGGACAGGTGCAGTTTCTTTTCAGAAACGGCACCGTTCTGGACCATGGTCCAAAATGTTTTGTGGACCATGATCCACGGTATGGTATAATTTTCCCAAGATTTGGGGGCCAAGGTAGAAAGAGAAGAGAGTTAGGGGTGTGAAGTGAGACATGGCGATGACTTTAGGGGGCTGGAGTGCAAAGGTTGGAGGAATGTGATCCAAATTGGGATAAAGCAAAATGTTTAAGGGGTTGGGATGTAAATATTGGTGGGAAAGGGTTAGAAGTGGGACATGGCAGAAAGTTTAGGGAAATATGATACAATAATATTGATACAAGTAGTAGGGGCTAAACTTTCGGCCATGTCCCACTTAGTGGTTACATAGTAGATTTGACATAGCACTTGTCAGACCTTTATCTTAACACATTGATTTTTATTTTTTTTATTTTTTTTATTTTTTTGGGTACTTATACTACATACTACTTATTAAAATGAACTTTTCCAATTTCTTTTATTTATTTTACCGCATCCATTACCCGAATTATAATCCAAAAGTCATGTTATAATAAAACCATCAAAGAGTGGTGGAATTTTGATTGGCCCAATTTTTAGGAAATCTTGAAATAAAAAATAAATTATTTTTAAGGCTAATAATTAAAACATAAGAACAACAGATCTTAACAGAACGAGACAAACCCAAGAACAACGACTTTTAGCTAATTTAGACAGTTTAATTAGTTTTGGGTCGTAGTCGGTTTTGTTGGAGCTCAACAATGTTGCTAGCTAAGGTGTTGAGCATCCAATTGGGAGGGAGCTCTCATGGCACAATGTGCATATTATGTTAGCATCTTTTTTTTTTTTTTTTTTTTTTTTTTAATAGTAATAATACTAATTAATGTTGAATAAGAAAACATTTTTGAAGTCTTGTCTATGTGTCGTACTGTCATACGAGTTTTCAATTGTCCTAAGTATGGGTGTAGTATTGTCCAGGCAGTCCAGCTACTACTCATGTTTAAATCTTTAATGGAGGAGAATCTCATCCTAAGAAAATAAAAAGTAAAACATTCAGATCCTGCACCACTAAGACAAATCACATGATTTACCTCTTTTACAATTTTCAGGACAGGAAATGAGAAGTCCTCATATTTAGGATTTAAATTCACTAAGTTTTCAAAATTCCATACAAAAGAGTTTGATGTTTCAGAATTGACAAAAAGCATTGTAATAATGGTCCGGTTAGATTACTTGAGAAGGCAATTAAGTTAGATATATTTTTTGAAAGTGTAAAGCAAGAAGGAAACTTGGAGTAGAAGGAAGGAAATTTTTGTGTAATATATTCCTTCCCAGCAGGTTAGAATTGTTATGTTAGGTTCTAAAGACAAAGTCTCAATCTAGGGTGACCCATTTAAAGATAACTCACAAATGTATACTTTAAATATATATATATATATATATATATATATATATATATATATATATATATATATATATATATATATATATAATTATAGAAGTCACTTAGTATTCAAGAAATTCATGTATATACAATAAATTAATAACACTTTTAAAATAGTAACTCCGACTAAAGCCAATCTGAGATTGATATGCTAGTAACCAGCGAATGACTTTCAAGCGTTAGATAAATAGGCCAAATGATCACTCCCGGTGATATGTAAGGTCAAGTCTAATAGAGCGTTAGTAATAGCTCTAACAACTTTTATAGTAAAACATATTTTTTTTATAAGATATGTATACAACCCATTCAACACTAACATATACTATAAAAAGTAAAACATTCAGATCCTGCACCACTAAGACAAATCCCATGATTTACCTCTTTTACAATTCTCAAAATTCACAAGTTTTCAAAATTCCATACAAAAGAGTTTGATGTTTCAGAATTGACAAAAAGCATTGTAATAATGGTACGGTTAGATTACTTGAGAAAGCAATTAAGTTAGATATATTTTTTGAAAGTGTAAAGCAAGAAGGAAACTTGGAGTAGAAGGAAGGAAATTTTTGTGTAATATATTCATTCCCAGTAGGTTAGCATTGTTAGGTTCTAAAGACAAGTCTCAATCTAGGGTGAAACATTTAAAGATGACTCACAAAGGTATAATTTTTATTTAAAAAAAAAAATCTAATTATAGATGTTACTTAATATTCAAGAAATTCATGTATATGCAATAAGTTAATAACACTTTTAAAATAGTAACTCCGACTAAAGCCAATCTGAGATTGATATGCTAGTAACCAGCGAATGACTTTCAAGCGTTAGATAAATAAGCCAAATGATCACTCTCAGTGATATGTAAGGTCAAGTCTAATAAAGCGTTAGTAATACCTCTAACAACTTTTATAGTAAAACATATTTTTTTTATAAGATATGTATACAACCCATTCAACACTAACATATACTATAATTTAATACGGAATAAATAAATAAAGTCTTTTCAAATTGCAATAAATGAATAATTGGTCCAAATTAAAGAATTGTTGCAGTTGCTTGTACGGATGACTATTGAGCTCAACTATGAATCCAATAAAATAGCATGAAGGATGATTTAGTCATAAATTATCAGTCTATATAAATAAGATCTAGCAAACCCAACGACTTAATACAGTTGGTAAGCAAATAATTCATGCTAAATAAAAACAATTGAATATTTTAAATACAACAACCGAAAACAACTCGTACTGAATGATAGGTGGTACTATATATTTCTCCCAAGTGTTGTGAGTTGTGACATATATTATACACCTAGCACCGTACATATTTGGTGCTTACATAATAGGCGGTGCCTCTATCTTGTACGCTTAAGCTACATAAAATTATTACTTATCAAAATAATTTAAGAAGTGGCTTTGAAGGAAGTAGAAATTATATTAAGGTTTTTGTTGGTATAGGCTCCGGTGAGTATACCATGGGCTAACCATTTATAGGCAGCTTCTGTTAAATGTATGCCATCCCAATTAGCATACAAATTTGGGTCAGCACAGGCTTTTGTTGGAGGGTACCCACATAAAAAAGATGCATTGAAATTGTATGCACCTCCTGCCCCACAGCATGCTACAACTGCCCCTTCTTTGAATCCTACAATCATATATATAATTATATATATATATATATATATATATATATATATATATATATATATATATATATATATAATAAAATTGATGATGTTTTAAACAAGTCATGAAATACCTAATGTGTCTGGGGTGAGGTAAAATTGCATTGCCGCGTTGTAATAATCAGCATAAATGATTGTAGCGTGGGGGTGAAGTTTCTGGAGGCGGTTAAGTTCGTTAATCAGAAGGCTGTTGTGGTACTTTGCGAAGTCGTTTAGCCAATTGAGGCAACCAGTTTCGGGGTCGTAGTCGGTCTGGTTTGAGCTGATGAATGTTGCTAGGTAAGCTGTTGAGCATCCCTTTGGGAGCTCTCCTGGCACAAGTAGTGTAACGGCTCCTAGGCCAATCAATTCCTACATTACAATTAAATTAAAGAGAAAAAAGCTAAGTTAGATTCTTAATTAAAGGAAAAGTATAAATTAGATTCTAAATCACAAAGGCACAGCCATTGGATTTGAATTTGACATCTCATTATAATATAAGGTTTTAGATTTATCACATGATTTATAACAAAGATATTGCGACATATATAATATACGTACATGCAAGTATTATAATTAAACGTCTAACATTTATTATTAAAAACAATTCTTACATGGACAACTGAGCCAATTTTGGAGACAACGTTTGGGACGTATGATTTAATAAAATTGGTTGATATTCCTCCAAGGAATGCATGGTTGTAATCATTTCCTCCGATTTCACCCACTACTACTAATGAGCTTTTTAGAAATTCCTTGCATTCTGCATGTCCAAATCAACAATATAATGGACTCAAATATATTACAAAATTTAACAAATGTTTAATATACATGTACAATAATCAAGGATAGATCGAACTTAAAAAGACTAATATCAAATTAATAATGTATTTCGTCTAAATTAAAAATTTAACTAGTGATAATATATATATATATATATATATGTATGTATGTATATGTATATATTGATAATCCTTTCAAAAAATATATAGATTGAGAACTATGTCCTAGGTGATAATCTATGCACAAATCCAAACTGTTGATCTAGTAAATCTAACGATTGAAAATAAAAAATGAACTTATTTTCATAAATACTACAAATTTCAAAAGTTTATAATATTGTAATATTTATAAAAATGATCCCACTCCTTTTTTTTTTTTTTTTTTTTTTAATTTCATATCCATTAGATCATGATGATTTGGATATGTTCATAAAATTTTACCTGAGGAGTAGTTTTGATATGAACCGGATAAATCTTTTTTCTAAAGCATTAATTGGCGTAAAATGGACGCGTTAAGCATTCCCTTTTCAAAAGATGGGATTTAAAGTAATTTGAGTGAGCAAAGGTGGTGGAATATATAACTTGCTTTTTGGTTTGGCAAGGAATTCGTATAAATTTTATCATTACCCTTTAATAAAATTGTTAAAAGTACCCGAGTGAAGAATATATGCAACATTTTAAATTTTCATTTTACGATATTTTATAAACACTAGTTATTTATTTTGTAGTTACTAAACTAATTATCAGATAAATTCCATCGAAGTTTACCAGACAAATATTTTTTCAATAGGTCTGTTGATTAAAAAAAATTATACTTTAACTAAAAATTATTACATGCTTCATTTGAGATGATTTTATAGAAGATTTATTCAATTTTTTTTAACTTATAACACGGTGTAATTAATTGATTAATAATATGTATTAGACGTACAATGACGATGAATCTTTACGGTTCCATGTGATCTTTAATTTCATATTTATTATGTGATCTTTCATATTCATTAATTACATATTAAAAATAAAATCAAATACAAAAAGTAAGAGAAAATTACCTGATGAGGACTGGCAAATGGTTGGTAACATTTCCTTGAACCAATTCAATTGGCAGTCCAATGAGATATTAGGGGTGAGATTAAAGAGTCCAATTTTCTTAAAAAATGCGTCGTCCAGAGCCGTAGCACCGCCGACGGCGAAATTCGCACCTTCACCGAAATTCCGGCGGCCACTTTCATTTCTCTCCTCCCCGACATACGGCGGAAGAAAGGGAAGCCCCAAACTATCGGCTGCGACAAACACAAATGCCGTTACGTACGTCATCAAATAATCTGTCATGCATCAACCGAGTAAAAGAAATCAAATACGCGTTTACGTACCGATGAAGTCGATGACGACACGGCCGTCGGAAAATCGGCCGGTGGGGGTGTGGAAGAAGGTTTCTCCGTAAGGTGGGAGGGCATAGTGGGGTGGCCGGTTGGTTTCCGGTGAGAGATGAAGGAGGTTTCCGGTGTCGGCTAACGAATCCCCGAAGCTAAAGAGGGATGTGTAGGGGGCGGCGGCGACATTTTCCGGTGATGATAGTAAGAAGAGAAATAAGAATGATAGTAACATGGTAACAACAAACCTAGAAGAAGCCATGACGGGGTTTAGTGAAGTAGTACATACTTTAGGTCCAACGACTATATATATAACGTGGTGCGGCGTCACAGTAATTTCCATTTTTTTTTTAATTACAAAAAAATTATTCTATTTTAATCAGAACAATAAAAGAATAATTAATACTAAAATAAATGAAAGAAGGTGCTACGAAATAAATCTATATATAAAAAAAGAAACAATTTAGACCAAATTCACATCTAACATGAATAATTTAACTCTAAAGTTATATAAATAGTGTATTATAACTCCATTCAAACACATTCTTTACCAATAATTACGGAACGTTTGGTTCAGGTCATCTTAGATTACCTAGGTAATCTGAGTTTGGTGATGTTATATTATCTTGTTTGGTTCAAGTTATGAGATTACATGCTAATGTTATATTACCTGAAAACTGATATTGCAGTAATGTTTCAAGGTAATGTGATTACCTCTGTTTTCTTTAAGTAATCTTAGATTACCTTGAATTATTTCAATTTTACCCTTCTTAACTAACTAATCCTTATCCTTATATAATAATAATAATAATAATAATAATAATAATAATAATAATAATAAATGTTTATATAATCAAATATACATGTGTTTATATTTATATATTTAATTTTTTTAATATTTAAGCATTAACACACACACACAAATATATATATATATATATATATATATATATATATATATATATTATTGAGGATATTATGGTAAATTGATCCATATAACCTAAAATATAACCCTTAACCAAACAAGGTAATATTATATTCCACAATTCAAACCAAACACATAAGGTAATCTTACATTCTCTAAATATCACATTACCTTCCTGCAGGTAATCCTATTACCTGGGGTAATATAAGATTCCGTGAACCAAACGCCCCGGGTAATCCTCCTTCCAAAACCATTGAAATCTCTGAAGGTCTGAAGACTTGATAATACTAATTGTCAGGATCAAACGTTTACCACTATGTTAAAAGTTAAAGTTAGTAGCGAAAACATAACTTTATTGACTTGTTAATACTAATTGTCAGGATCAAATGTTTATTACTATACCAAAAGTTACAGTTAGTAGCAAATATACACTATTACCACGGGAAAACTCAACATCTTCAATTCCATAACCTCACCATATTCAACGTACTACATATCCAAGAGATTGTTATAGATCTTTAAGAAAGAAAAAATGTTGCTATATTATGGTTTATGAAATAGCTAGCACGGAGGATGTTTTTGTTGCACGGTCTATTAATCAAAGAATGTACCTCTCAAAGTTTTGACATATATATACGATAGGGCGTGATTTTTATAAAATAAGAAGTCACTAATTGCGTGCAATTAAAGCAATCCAAATCTGCCAGGCGCCAATTAAGTTCAATGCCAAAAGTCTATGTGAAGTGATTTGTAACGCATTATTTGTTGACGTTCAATAATTAAGTGTTCGCTGTTCGGGTGACGCTGGCTTAGAAGGACGAATCTAATTTAACATCTTGTTATTGAAACATGATTTACTGCTATTCAACTACTCAAATATAATAAAAAAAAATAATAATAAAATTGTGTATTTGCTATTAATTCTTCTAAAAGGCTGAACCCCAACCTTAAGGGCGCCTCACACCCCGACCCGGCAGATCATTTGGGAGGATGTAAATCATGGTGACTCAACTGAACATGAACCACATCATGGTGACTCAACTGAACATGAACCACAGAGGTTAGACCGGTGCTCACTGCGCACAAGGAGTCCCCCTCACCTTGAGAGGTTGCTCCCACACTGCCGCTGGTGAGACGTGATCCCTGGTCATTCTTCTAAAACTTCACCCCTATGACCAATTGAGCTACCCATTCGGGCTATATTTACTATTAATTTGTTATAACTTTTGACGGATTACATCTTCACTACTAATAAATATAATTTTTGACATAATAGTGAGCGCTTGAAACTAACATTTACCTTTATGTGCTTTAATTTGTATTGTTGAAGAGGATCCAACTCAAAAAAAATAATAAAAAAAAATTCAAGATTATTAGATATCTACTTGCGTTAATTGCTTGGGGAGTTAGATGTCTATTCTGCCCCATGCACCCGACTGCAGGGGTGTTAGGGGACAATAGGGACAATATTTAATTTAAGCTTTTATCATCAAATACTCTTTTTGTCCATTTTATCTGTTATATTTACTATTTATTGGTCAAATTAATTCCATTTATTTATTTGTTTGCATTAGTATTTACTTATATATATATATATATATATATATATATATATATATATATATATATATATATATATATATATATATATATATATATATTGTGTTTAATAGTGCTTATAATGTAGTTTCTATTGTGGATGTCTCACATTGATCAAGTTTACTGTTATGTTTTAGCCATTCTATTCGTCTGTATTGTCTCCTTTTGAAATATGTGTTATTAATCTGTTTCTTGCTTTTAGTTATGCTGTAACTTTAGTATTTACTTGTTATACTCTTGTATAAATAGTGTTCATTATTTGTTAATAAACACAACATATTACTTCTCTATATGGTATCAGAGCATTTTTTTTCTCCATTGAGAGTGCACGACCCTTCTCTTCTTCCTTCACCCACCAGTTTCTCAAATGACCACCACAGTTTTCATTCCTGTTGTCATCCATTTGAATGCTCCTACTCATTTTCCCATCTGGTTAACTGAGTCAAAATTTTCAGTATGACAATGTCAAGTAAAATCAACACTCATTGGTCATGATCTTTGTGGATACATTAACAGAACAACAAATTACTTCTCTATAGTTTCTAAATATATAAATTTCACATATTAATTCTAAACTTAATATTATAAAAAATTAAATTGTAAATAACATCAGTCAAATCTCATTAATCGAACCTGACACATAAAATGAGTTGGAGAGAGTAATTCACTATGTCAATTGTCATGTCATTAATATTATTTTATAAATGATAAAAGAGTGATATGTTATTGGTAAAATAGCTTATGATTGGACAATAGATTGATCATGATAATTAATATTAGGGCAGATAAAGTCATTTACATATATAGTATTGTCTACTCTCTAAACACTCAATTCAAAGTCGTCATCTCCATATATAGTATTGTCCACTCTCCAAAGACTTAATTATTTTGCCTAATTCATATTTCATTTCATTGCTAAAAGGAAAAAAGGAATCTCTTCAAAGCAAGAGCTTCCCACTCTAGCCGGGCATCAACTAACATATTTATTGCTTTAGGGGTACGTTGAGTGTTACGTATAAGTACAAACCAAAACATAGAAGTGTACAAATGCACGCTCCAAATTTTACTAATCCCACATAAGATGACGACAACTTTCGTGCAGTTTAGCATTGTATTACGCAATGAAATGTTACATATGCAACTATGCTTTTGTATATATATATATATATATATATATATATATATATATATATATATATATATATATATATATATATATATATATATATATATACTAATTTTTTACGCTCATTGCGCGATTGAGATAATGCCCAATGTTTTTTTTTTTTTTTTTTAAATAAGTACTATAAAATATATCAAGGTAACTACTTTAGGTCATTTTACATGTTAATCTAAACAGTTAATTTTTTGAAATATCTTTTTACCAACCATTTATATAATTCGCTGGTCAAATCCGCTGATATAATCCGTTAACGCTAACCGCTAACTACTAATTGTCAAACAAGGACATTGCGAGGTAGTTCTCACTTCAATTTGTTGTGTGATTTTAATACTCTCTTTGTCAACAAATCCCTCAAGTAGTTAATATGATTGGCTTTATTAATTATATATTTTTTATATATATTTAAGTACTATAAAATATATCAATGCAAGATTATATTAGAATTGTTCATGCATAGATAATTAAATGTTGAATTTGCGTATTTAAATAGGTAATTCTAAGTTTACAAATGCAAGATAATATAGTCAAGATTAATTATAATTGGGAGAAGATTAGTTATAATAATTGTCAATAAAATAGTTGTATGCGTATGGTTGAAACCAAATACGGGAAATAAGGGAGAGCAAATAAAAATTAGAGCATAAAATATTAAATATATACTAATATTGAAGGGCTAACAGCTGATTGCTAAACAAGGACATTGCGAGATAGTTTCTCACCTCAATTTGTTGTGTGATTTGAATACTCTTTTTGTCAATAAATCCCCCAAGTAGTTAATATGATTGACTTAATTATACTTTTTTTTTTATTTTGTTATAACAATTATTATTATTATTATTATTATTATTATTATTATTATTATTATTATTATTATTATTATTATTATTATTATTATTATTATTATTATTATTATTATTATTATTATTTGAAAAAATTAGTCGTTTAGATTATCTTTTTACCAACCGTTAATATAATTCGCTGGTCAAATCCGCTAACATTAACCGCTAACTGCTGATTATCAAACAAGGACATTACGATGTAGTTCTCACTTCAATTTGTTGTGTGATTTGAATACTCTCTTTGTCAACTAATCTCTCAAGTAGTTAATATGACTGGCTTTATTAATTATGTTTTTTTTAATTTTTAATTTTTTCATGGTATTAATAAAATACTTGATAAATAAATATATAGCATTATTTGGTATTATAACTTTGATATTTAATTAAAAAATAGTGCACAACAAAGATAATAGACAATGTAGTGAATATAATTAATTGATTAATTTGAATGTAAAGAATTTTTACATTAGAAAAAATAAAGACAATATAACTAATGAAATTATTTCTCTTATTTAATTTATTGATAATGAATAATTATTTTTTTGAATAAAGACATAGTACACACATAATTCTAAATTAAAGAAATGCATATGTATTATTTTTTTATATAGCTACTAAATTATTAATTAATTTAATAAGAGTAAAATAGAGTACTAATTATGCCAACTTTAATTTGATTGGGATGGGGTTCGAACCTGAGACCTTTCTTATTAAAATCAATGAGTAAGTTAACGGTGAACTAACAAAAATTAATGGAA